TTCTTTTTTGCCTGAAGGAATTATTTGCTAGTTAAAGTAAATTCTTTCCAGCCAAACAAAGTGACAGTTCATTAAAATAAAAAAAATCTTGCTGATAGATTTTATGTTTGAATTTGCTTTAACTTTCCTTAAATATAATGGTGGGATGTGCTATAGATGAATAACATGCAATCCACAGGAATTATGACTTTTTTTCACCTTATCACCTTAGACATGAAGATACCACTTTACGCATCATTTCAGAGAAAATCTTATTAGCAGTTAGACCAAACAGTTTAGTAGGCAGGTCCCATGAGCTGCTTGTCATAGAAAGTCTAGAGAGACTGACGAGCATTAAACAACAGACTGAGAAACTGTGCAGACAAATCACCATCTTATAGTAACCACATTCATGGCAGCACTGTCACCTCTTGGCCTGTGCTTACTCTAGTCAGGGGTGGCAAACACTGAGTCTACAGAAAGATCCAAGCATAAAGGAACTGCTGAGAAATATGTGTGCATGTAGAGCATCAGTAGGGCTATAATTTCCAGGTCTTGGGGTTGATTACTTGGCAGTATGCTGTCATAAGCTGTTATTAGTCAGACAGTTGTCCTTCTCATTTTCACAAGAATAAAATGGATGGAGCCTTGCAGGATGATTGTGTTACTTTTCACTTTGGGAGGAGCACAAGATTTTTTTTTCTCCTGTCAGTGTGGCTGCATTTTTGTTAAAAGGGGTTGTCTAAAAAAATAAATAAACTAATGAATAAAACTTTGCAAGCAATTTGCATGCTACAGTCATATCATCAGAAACCTGTATACTAACTCATCTACTTTGAGTGTGAACATCCTGTAATTTGCATATTTGAATATGCTTTGGCTGCAGCAGCTATCCTCAAACCATACTAGTTCGAAGCCTCCTCTCCCATCAAAACGTGAAGGTGATGTCACAGGATGATTATTGGAATTTGTTGCTCAGGACATGAAGCCTGTTGGTTATTACTCTGTGGTTATAGTGCTGGGATAACCAGTTGATGTAGTTTTTATTTTTATAAAAGCACATAAAGATGTGCATTCGACATCTTGTTAGTTCTGGGTCTATTATCATTTATGTATAAAATAACTAGAATAATATGATTTAACGTGTAGCAAATATCAGCCTCTTAATTGTGTTTGTGAATCATTTAGAATAATGAGGTTAACAGAGTGGGACAATCGATTACTTAAAAATAAGGTGTGATTTCCATTGATCGAGATGTTAAAAGCCCGTGACATTCTCAGATGCAGGATCTGAAACATGTGCTCCAGGCTGAGGCTCTCTAGTCTTTCAGCTGTGAGTGGAGAAACTCAGGTTGGCCATGAATGTATGCAGGATTCAAGTTGCAGAACAACTTTGTAGATCACTGAAGAAAAGGAAGCCCCCATTGTTGCTGCGCTGATATCTGAATGAGGGAGTGGGTGACGTTTAATAGCCTGGCTCTTTAGCGGGCTGGCCTTGGCCAAAGAACTCTGTTGTCTCTTAGTTGTCTCACTCTCTCTCTCCTCTTCGCTCAGCTGTCTGCCGCTGCTTTCACTCAGTTTGGCAGGAAATAATTGCTTGTCCTCCACAGCACTTCAAATAAAAGAGCTGTGTTAATGAGGGCTTTCCTCCTTCTCTCTCTCACTCTCTGTGTCCGTCTGTATATCGCACTCTCCATCGCTCATTCCCTCTCTTCATTAGTCTCTCTCTGTGAAGTGCTCAGGCTCATTGTTTTTAGTTTCTGTAGAAAGAGTTGCCTCTGAAATAGCAGCCTCAGCTTTTGCTCCTGGCTGGCAAGTATCGGCTGCTTCTGACCAGTGAGAGCACCAGCTGAGCAGAGGTGTGTCTGCCTCTGTGACAGTTCAGGCTGAGTGGAGCAGTCTAACTATGGGTGTCAGTCTGACTGAATTAGGAGCTTTTAAGCATGATGATAGTTATTTCAGGGCATCCCGTAGAGGGAGGCTCCCCATTCCTCCCTCCCCCCCGGTCTGTGGAATTTGGAGGCAAGCATGGGAGGAGCTGTCAATCACAGCCTATTGTTGTGTGAAGGGGAGGTAATATGCTGTAAGCCCTCACAGTGGGAAATGATTCAACAGCAGGCTTTACACACTTGACACCTACGCACGCACACACACACACACACACACACACACACACACACACACACACACACACACACACACACACACACACACACACACACACACACACACTTTACCAGGAATATATTGGCAGCAGTGGGAGGTTGGAGCAATTTCTGCAATTGGACCCTGGGGTTTACTTTTGGTCCTACTCCCAGTATCCATTTTCCTTTGTGCTATATAGATGCTTCTTATTTGATTTGGATATTCACTTGTAAAAGTAATTTTAGCAGTGTTGTAGTTTAATTAGTACACTCCCATGTTCAACAATGTGGAATAATTCAGTAATGAACCGTAATGGTTTTTAAGCAGGAGACTTTTTCAGGGCCTCTATTATTTCATGAAATCCAGTAGCACACACCGTAGTGTCATGCAGAGCGGCGTGTTAATGAGCCACAGAGCAGCAGTGTGCAAAGTCACGATGTATGGTCAGTGAATAAATAATGGGGTAAAGAGAGCAGTGGCTCTGTCATGCCAGCAACAGCTCATGGCTGACTTACAGCTGGCACTGAATCACCGGCTAACCAGCAGGACGGCTTCTGCTGCCACCAGTGCTGTCGACACAAATCTCAAGCTCTGACCAGGGCATCAATTCTGCAATGGGCTTATCAGTCACTCACTCATTCACCACCTCCTTGACTCACAGCACTGGCTGCCACAAAGAATGATATCTGGTCCTGTTGGATCCTGTCTGTTTACTCGTGGCGGTGGGTTAAAGAAGTAGATTTAAAACCTTCAATACGTTCTCATATTTTGTTAGCTGTGCATATTTCCAGCATGATGATGATACTGAATGAGGTCCAGAGATCTGTTGAATTCCCATAGAGAGAACCATCGAGACAGGACAAGGAAAATCCTATGTCAGGAATTCATGTTAATGTCATCGAACATTACGCTTTATCTCCTTGGAGATGTGACACACAACATCCAGTCCATTACTGTAGTTACTAAATTCATCACTTTGTATTTAAAAGCTTTGCTGAGTTTAGTTTGGCTTTTCCAATTAGGACCTCTCATACTCAGCACAGGAAGTAATTACTCCAAATTAAAGTGGAATTGGGATCTCTTTGATGGGAATAGGATAGGGTTGGCAATTATAAAGATGAGATTTCTCCCAGCTTTAATTTTCACCCACAGAACACTCCCAAAACGAGGCCACACACAGGGGCAGCAGGTAGGAGGGGAAAGAAAACGGGCTCCAGAGAACCACAGCAGCTAATGGATCCTGGATCAACAGCCCAGGGCTCATCAGCATTCAGCACAGCTGCTGTATTGATTGAAATGTAGTGCAAGCATTACAACATGATGCTCTATTATACCCCAATTGATTGTCTTCTGATCAGCTGCGGGTCCCCACCCTCTCCTTCTCACTCTGTAATAGTTCACAGCAGGAGGAGAATAAACGAGCTTGATGGAGCAGTTGAGGATTGGGAGCGAATCAGCAGAAAAAAAACAGAAAAGATGGACACAGCTCTGAGTTTATAAGCAGCGGGCCACTAAAAGGTTGGGAGACTTGGAGAGCGGAGATTCAATTGTGAAAGATGTGCGAGGATTTAAGTGCAGAAACAAGAGTAACAGGAGTGGCAATATGATGTTGCTAAATTGAAACACTGAGGCCTGCCACTTAAGCTGCTGTCTGAAAACCACTCTCTACTGCAAGCCACTTAAAACAGTCTGACACACTACAGCTTCATTTTCCAGCAGTAACCCTTGTTTGTCTGGACTGATACTTGGACCAGCAGAGTTTCTACAACTTTCAAGCCTCACTCCGTGACCACAGGTTTACTAAAGCAGTCAGAGGTCAAGGGATGAGGGCTGCCTTCTGCTCTGCTGGAGTATTGTTGAAAAAAAAGAAGAAAGAAAGAAAGAAACTTCCTGCCAAGATTAGAAATGGTTTTGGAAAGGTTGGGTATACACATCTAACTAGTAGAACTTGTTCCTGTTGAAAGGGCCCCTGAGCAGCCATTAAGCTGTGCCCGGCTGTTTGTTTGCACGCTAAGCTTTTCGAGTGCATGTTTGTGTGTGTGTGATCGTACTTGTGGTTTACTCCTCACCACGCTTGCCCAGTGCTGGCTTGTGATTATGCATGTTGCTGGCTGCGGTTTGGTCTCTGCTGAGTCTCTGGAAGACTACAGGCATCTTTCCCTCTCCCCCAGTGCCCCCCCCCCCCCCCCCCCCCCAGATGCTGTCAGCTGATGTTCATCATGCAGCAGGTGTGTGTTTTGGCTCAGTCCCTCCGACTTTGGGTTACCTCACAACTTCCCTATTCAGCAGTTCTGTGGCGTGAGACCACAGAAAAGATGTTTTCAGGAACAAATTGTTTTATGTGAACCTCCCTCTCTGGTTAATTAGAAGTTGCTTGTGACATTTATCTTCCTTGTGTTTATTGTCTCTGCTGAATAAGAATGCTCAGTCAGATTGCGGTTTGTGATTATTTGTGTTTTCAAATGAGTTATAAAAAAAGGGCTCTGTGGTTGCTGGTGAGCTCACTGAGAGGGAGCAGCAATACCACGTCCAGCTGATTCTCAATCTGTGACAAATTGGGCCAACCCTACAGTAATCAGATTAGAGGACCTAAGTGACGTGCTGCAAATGTCCCACCTTGTGATCCTGTGCATTCATTTTATTATGACCGTGAGCTAATGAGATTAGTCCTAAAATAGAGCTGCTCCGCCAGGAAGCGGCTGCACAAACCTGCCTGTGCAGCAGCTGGGAGCAACAAGCCTTCCCCCCCGCTGACCTCCACGTTCAGTCGCTTCTCTTCGTCAGCTGTAGCATGACCACGTTGGTCTGTGGCCAAAGTCAGTTCACAGCTCTACTACAAGGCTAATCCATGTTTGTGCCTTGGATCTCCTCCACAGGAAACCCCGGATCAACTCCCAGCTGGTTGCCCAGCAGGTGGCTCAGCAATACCCGATGCCTCCCCCACCCAAGAAGGAGCGGAGAGAGAGGAGCGAGCGCATAGACAAGGAGCGCCCGGAGGGTGAAGGAGAGCGAGCCAACGGAGAAGGACGCCCACAGGTCGAACGTCCAGAGAGAGTGAGGCCAGAGGGAGACACTCCTGAGAAGGAAAAGAGCGACAAGGAGCAGCCAATCAAAGACAAACCCGACAGAGAGAAGGAGATCAGCCCAGCTCTGACGAAGAAGCCCAGCAGCAAAAAGACCAGGTCAGCGTACGAATCACAGCGCATGTTTCTGCATGCCTGCAGTGGTGCTGATATCAATCCTCACTTGTGTGCGTTTGTTTTCCTCCAGACCCAAATCTGACAGCCATCAGAGTTCACCCAGTGACAAACACAGCATACAGTCTGGCAAATCAGCAACCAAGACCAACAAGAACTCTCACATTTCCAGGTGCGTAGCCCACTCCCCTGCTCTGCATGTGTTTCACAGAGCACGTGGTTTAACTTGTATGACTATGCAGTAGTTCTGGTCAGAGAAACTCATCTAGCACAAGGTTAGTGGGAAAGCTCAGCTGATTCACAAATGATCTTTTACACTAAACGCCCACTCTTACTTTTGATGCACTTGTTCTGACTGTGCATGTGTCACCCGATGAATTGAGCAATTTAGTGTAACCACCCCCACAGTGCTGGAAGCCTCCCATTGTTGTTGCTGAGATGCACATGTTGTAGTTGGCAATTGTGACTACTAATATTTAGTTTTTCTCCTTCTCTTCTCCTCAGGCCCAAACTGAAGAACATTGACCGGAGTACTGCCCAGCAGTTGGCTATCACCGTAGGGAACGTCACGGTGATCATAACAGACTTTAAGGAGAAGACCCGCTCCTCCTCCACATCTTCATCCACCGTCACATCCAGCGCGGGCTCCGAACAGCAGCACCAGAGCTCCGGTTCCGAGAGCATGGACAAGGGCTCGTCACGCGCCTCCACCCCAAAAGGGGATCTCTCTGTGGGGCATGACGAATCGTTCTGAGGTCCCGCTGCCATCCTCCACCACCTATGACCCACCCTTGCACCGCTCCCCCCTTTCCCCATGTTTCTGGACACTATGGATCCCACAGGGGGAGGGATTTCACCTTTTCCCATCGCCGACCCGCCTTCATTCCACGATCTCCCCTGGATGCTAAGAGGAACAGTGAGGTGCCATCTTTTACGGAAAACAAGCGCCCCCCGCTTGGCGAATATCCCTCGTGGTTACACCTGTGGCACAGGCGAGGAGAAGTGGCCTACACGGAATAACACCCTCATTCCTTCCCCTCAGCCCCCTCCCCAGTAGCATCCAGACACTTGTATGTATTGTTTTATATTTGTACGTGGATGTGAGGCCAAGTCAACTTTTTTTTGTTTGTTTGTTTTGTTTTGTTTTTGTAAAGAAGAATTCTCCGCTGGGCACAATAACCACCACTTTTTTTAATAACTTTAAAACTATTATTACCTTTATTTATTACCTGTTGCACCTGTATACTTTGATATTCTCCTTTTTATGTTGAAGCTTTGCTGTGTAGCTCTGCAGATCGATCGTTCCTTCAGTGTTTTTACTACAGTCTGAAAACAATAGGACAACACACACACACGTCAGATACAACACACATATACACTCACACACATACACACACTGGTGCTAGATACACTGTGAAGCGGTTTTGCAGATCTGGGATTGCCCATTCGCTCAATGTGACAAAGTGCTGATGAATCAAATTCTCATTCACTTTTCTCAACAACACTGTCTCGCTGAACACTGTCGGGACCTCCAGGTCCGTCTACTTTTTCTGTACAGGTCATTGTGCATCAGAAGAAGGTCACCTAAAGTTCAGACACCTGACTTTTTCAACTAGATTGTCTATGATTTAGTATGCTATAGCAGATCTCTTATACAGTATCTTATGTCTTTAACTGTACAGTGTAGGCTGTTGTGTAAAACACTAAAAGCTGTCAATATTTTTCTGCATTTGGTACTTAAATATTGAGTTTTCTGGCTGCAGGCAGAGCTGTCCTCTCAGCTGGTGAGGAGCCAGAGCATTTTCTGTTGTGACTGAATGATGGTTAAAAGCAGTTCCACTTGGTAAAACCATATCGAGCTGTAAAAATAGGCCTGTTGTGTCAAGCTGTTGTGAGTCGATTTTATTTTATTTTTCCTCCTCCACCTTCTTTCTTTTCTTTTTTTGTGGTCCTGAAGTCCACCCAGAAAACAGAGTGCAGAGACGAGAACAATTTACAAAGACTGACAATTCAATTGACTTGTTTTTATTTGTATTAATTTAAGACTCCTGTCATTGAAGGCAAAACAATATTGCAGTAGTTAAATAGAAGACAATTGTTCTTTCAATTTTAATGCAGCAAGGCTTATTTAAGGGTTTTAATTCACGTTCACCTTAGCTGATACTAGACCAACATAATTTCCTTTTAACTGTATGAAATTGTATAAAGAATAAATGTGTATATGATATCTTAGTTTTATTTATTGAAGGACCAAAGGAATTTCATAATGACATGATACATAGACAGATGAATAACAATTTGAAATGCAATTATCTAATGTGTGAGATGAATAACAGTTTAAATAAAGACTAATATAATCCATGTAAATGGTGTTCTTATTGTCCACTCATCTTTGTGCGTGGCTAAATTGGGGCAGAGGTCATCATGCTGTGAGCGGAGTCGAGGGAAAACCACAGCTCCACACGCAGTGGTGGATGTTGCCTCGTCGTGCACACAGTGAGAAGCAGTGTGGGCATGGGAAGAGCTCTGGGTCTTAAGACTTTGGCCTTAGCGAGCCCCTCTTCGCTCTGCTGGACTACCATTGTACATGCAGCTCCCCTAACGGAGGCCCCAGCTCACAAACTGAGCCGCTCCCAGAGCAACTAAAAGCCAGGTTACGAGAGGTAACCGTCCCCTCCTTTACCCCCCCTCCACCCCAAAACTAAAAAAACCCTCCTAGGAAGTGAGGGGCAGGATTTGATCTGTGTACACTCAAACGCTTTCCAGAGTCACACGTAGGGATGATAATCATGTGTGTTGTCAGTCCAGGAGATGTGTTTATTTTTTTCTGCTTCTGAGCGATGGTTAATATGTAATTATGTACTTTATTGCATTCAAATATGGAATCAGTGTTCAAAGTGAGGAAAAGCAATGTGAATAGAACTTTAAAAAAAAAGTGGGACTGCTGGTCAGAGGGGAAATGTTTTGTCCAATTTTTACAGAGAATGAAACCCTGCTTTGTAATGCAATCGGTTAGAAATGGGCCTAAAAAGCCATCTTTTCACCTGCCTTATCTGCAACCACATTCACTTTGACTGAGTACTCCCAACAGAAAGGATTCATGGTTAAATTATTGACAAATGGGCCATTTGCTGAGTATATGAATTATTGCTTGTATATAGAATTTTAAAAAGGTGCAAAAGCAAACACTATGAATACTGGCATTGGAGCTGAAGTCTTTTTTTTTTTGTTTCCTGTTTCCTTCCCGCGCAAGCAGTTCTGTTCTTGTGTGCGACCAGTAACCTTAATTTACTGTGTAAAGATGGTTACATTTTTTAGCTTTGTTTGTCAGACCCAAATATAGAATGCTTGTTTACTGACTGTATAAGCTTAACCGTGAATTCCAATTACGTGTATTATACAAACTCATTTCTTCCTATAACGATGTCTTGTACAATGCTTTTAAAGTTATTGCTCTGTTTAAAAGAAAAATGAAAAAAAAAAGTAGGGAGAGAACAATAATCCATTCTTTGTTTAATCCAGTTTTAGTTTTTTCTTTCTTCTTTTCTTTCTTTCTTTTCTTTTTTTTTAAACTTATAGCTGATGTGTCATTGTTTTCCCTTGTGAAATGGTCACATTATGTTCCTGGTGTGGAAATGTACTCAGCATTTTCAGCAGATCACAGCTCCTTGTCTAGCTTATAATGTTGAACTAATACATGTTTCTGGCATGTGCACGACTTTGCGCTTATAGGCTAACCCGATCATTTTCCTCTGCTTCAAATAGAAATGTCTATTTATGAATTTTGCTTGTAGTTTTTCACAAATAAAATTGTTAAAGTTATCTATTTTCTGGCTGTTCTGTGTCCTTTGTATAGTGTTCGGGGTTACAAAGCGTTGTAGTCACGTTGCAGTGCTTATGTTACAGCAAATGCACGACATTGCTTTTCCTTAAGTCAGTAATCAGATTTCATTACATTACTTACTGATCTAGTGATTATTCAGTTTTTTTACTTACTGGACATTAAAAAAAACCCTTTCATGCAAGTTTGAGCAAACATCAGCAGATCTTAGTTTGTTCACGTGACGGGAACAAAGCACTCTACAAACTCTGAAGAGTGGCAATATCGAGTTGATTGGAATTTCTTGAGAAAGGACAAAAAAACATGTTGGCTCTTTGAACACATTTTTAAATGTGAGAAAAGCCTAAAAGTCATTAACCATACCAAACTTAAACATTGGCCAGTCTGCCATTAAAGATCATCGTTTTCAGTGCTGGTGCTATCTTTAGATGTGCCTGTGGAAAGCCAGCGTCTTCCTTGTTAACTTGTTCCTCTGCACTGTGTCGCCTCCGTTGCCTCAGAATCCTCCAGCTTCCTTTTATCTTCAAGAAGCAGACAAAGTTGCAGGGAGGCAAATCTGGCAAGTCCAGCAGGAGGAGAGCGAACGTAGCAGTGGTGTGGCCAAGAAACTCCAATGCACTCACACACTGCCTCAATGACGCGCACCCCATGTTCTTCCTTAAATGCTTCAGGACATTACAGCAGAAATCTGCTTGATAGTCTTGGCCTGAGGGATGATTTCATACAACACATACACGCAAATATTCTCCTGGTCTCCATCCTCACGTGATGGTGCTGCCTTCTGGCTTGGAAACTGAAAACTGCTCATGCGTAACTGGAGACCAGCGCTTCCATGAACTCCACATGAAACTCGAGTGGGTTTTAAGCACACACCTTATATTCCCTCTCTGTACAAGTTTGCAGTTTGTGGTGGTAAAACGGTTCTTCCAGGAAAAGACCTAAAAATAGCAGCGGTGCTGGAATTCATCTGGACGTGCCCATGAAGGTGACCCTGACTGTGAGACCGGGCCGATATATTTCAGTCTAGGTTCTTGATTTTTATGAAGATGATCCTAAAACGTTTTGATCGCACCTACTGCTTTGTCAAAAACATCAAATGATGTGATATTTGAAAAATAAAATACACCCTTGGCTTCAGAAGCTTGTAACTCTGCCCCAGTTCACAGCAGTAACTTGTAGGTGCCTCCCTACCAGTTGCGATATGTCTGACGATTTTCAAGCATGCACCGCTGTTTTCACTTCAAATCTGTTTTTTTTCTCAGTTTCTTTTCTGTGTTTTCTTTTTTAAGCGCACCTCTCATGTGGTTGAACTCTGTAAAAATATCTTTGTGACTGTAGATGAATCACCACCAAGATCAGCTGTAGGAGTTATCTGCAGATGCTCTAATGAGATTCTGGGATTGTTGCAGACTTCTTTTTATAGTCTGCGATTGGGCTAAATTTGTTGTGGCAACCAACCAGTCCTGAAAACGGTCACGCTTGTGAAATCTTGACCTCTAGTAGTTCCTTAAAGTTATTTATTTCAAAATATTCTGAGATCTTATAAAATCTCATGGGCATTTGCAGCCTTTTCTGAGGGCCTTAGAGAGCTCTTTGGATCTTGGCATGATCAGTATCTGCAGTGGATGTGAGAAGAATCCCGCTGAGTGTGAATATGAGCAAACCTGCTGGGCATGAAAACATCTCTGGCTGTGTACTAAAAACATGTGCCGATCAGCTAGCTGATGCTATTGCCGGCATCTCACCTGCTTCCAGGCAGTCACCATTATCCCTATACCTGGAAAGTCTGCAGTGTCTTGTCTAAATGAATACTGCACTGTGGCAATCACCTCAATTCGGATGAGTTGTTTTGACTGGCATCCCAGCCAGCCTGGACCCTCATCGCTTTGCATTTATAAACAATCGATCCGCAGAGGATCCAACTCCCGCTGCCCTCAAATCTATAGTCCCGCGCTTTGAAAATAACACCTATTTCTGAATACAGTGATTTGAGCCCAACATTCAATAGAATCTCCCTGAAGAAACTAATTGGCAAACTGAGTGCCACACTTCCTGGTGTGACAGTTGGCAGTCACACCTCCCCCACTGTGGTGCTCAAAACTGGAGCTCCCCAGTGTTGTGTGCTCAGTCCCCTCCTGTTCATGCTGCACACCAATCACCGCATCCACAGACATAGCGAGAACATCACAGTGATTTTTGCAACTGGATTGCAAACAGCGGTGAGAGCTCCCGGGAAAGAACAGTCTTGCTGAGGAAAACTTGCTGCTAAACGTGGAGAAAAGATAAGGAGCTGGTGGCTGATTTTGAGCAGGTGTACAACCAATTCCAAGCAGTCAGTATGACACAGAACATCTCATGGTTGTCACACTTCTTCGTAACGGCACAGCCACATGGCATTTCCACTTGATTGATCTAAACAGCCAAAAAGTCTTTCAAAAACAGCGTAGACATTTGTGCAGCTGTCTCGGGATCTCCTGGGAGCGTTACTATCAGTTATAGCCTACAGAACAATTTCAGGATCTGGCAACAGGGGACTATGGGCATCCAGCCTGGTCATCTTCTCTAAGCACCGTTTTTTAAGGCCTAACCTTAAACAGAGACTTTAGAAACTAACTCCAACCTGACAGCTTATCCTAACCACTAACCACAGGATCTCAACGCCTAATCTTAACGGTGGACATTTGGAGGACTACACCTGAGCATGTGGGTTCATTTGTTGACCCTCCCAGCATGACCTGTGGGCCTGCCCCAGGACAGTTATTATCCAGTGCTGAGGTTCGACCAGACAAATGCATTTAAACTGAAACGAGGATGAGTTTTAGTTATTTTACTTTACCAGGACAGCTTAGTTTAGACCGAGTTGAAGAGGAACGTTCATGCCTTTATCTCTCATGCAGGCCATGATTGACACGTGCTGGTCTGTGAATTATCTTTGGCCCTCTACTCGAAACCAATATCAGTTGATGAACTGGATTGCAGAGGGTCTTCCTGACAGTCTAAGCCTAAACTCTGTTATTTTTGGAAACTACAGCTCAGTTATGATGCTGCCAAATGTGGGTTTTATGGCAAATGCTACATAGGCCTGATATCACCCTAAATGCCATAACACCCCTGACATCTGGCCTACATTATGTAGATCTGTGGCAGAGTTGAGGCATCCAGACTCTGAGCCAGCGCTGACAGTCATGGCCAGATGTGACCCATAGATAACTGCAGATGTCAGCCTCGTTCGCTGCCAATGTTGCTATCTGGTCTGATTCTAATTTCAGAGGTTTGGAGATGTTATTCGGGGATATTGCTGCTTCTTTTTTCGTGACGTACATCAGCTCTGTTTTATGTATTGAGAATTTGACTACTCTGTATTGTTTGTTTGACTATATCAATATTTATATGTAGACACTGTTCAGAGATGTCAAACAGTTTCTATGGGATGTACTTACCTGCTCACATGACTGCATTGTTTCATTGTTTGGACAGGGATTTCTGCTGACGTGTGGGTACCTGCATGTCGCAAATGCAGGGCAGA